ATCATCATCATCATCATCATCATCATCATCATCATCAGCATCAGCATCAGCATCATCATCATCATCAGCACCATCATCATCACCATCAGCATCATCATCATCTGCAGCATCAGCATCATCATCACCATCATCACAATCATCATCATCACCATCATCACCATCATCATCACAATCAGCATCATCATCATCACAATCAGCATCATCATCAGCATCATCATCATCGTGATCATCACCCTTATCAACCTTATCGTCCTTATCATCCTTATCACCATCATCATCATCATCATCATCATCATCATCATCATCCGCATCATCATCAGCAGCCGCATCATCATCATGAAAATCAGCATCATCATCATCATCATCATCATCATCATCATCATCCGCATCATCATCATCATCATCATCATCACGATCATCATCATCATCATCATCATCATCATCATCATCATCCACATCAGCATCGTCATCGTCATCGTCATCGTTGTCGCCATCGCCATCGCCATCGTCAGCGTCATCGTCATCATCAGAATCGTCATCATTGTCGTCGTCGTCATCAACATCATCAGAAACATCATCATCGGCTCACTAACGCAGCACCACGGAAACCCGAGGACACTGAGCCATGGTATGACTAATTTGTTCAGGCTACTCCGGATGGCCTTCAGAAAGCCTTCCAATGGCCTCCATGCCGCCGCAGATTGCTTCCTTGTTCCAAAAGGGGGACCAGCCAAGACCCTCCAAATCTAGCCCCACGACCGCTCCAAGACGGCCTCGAACACGTGCCGAACAAATCCCAAAATGTTCCCGACAGGCCCTCAAGCGGCGGGCAAGAATCCTTCCGGTAGCCCCCTGAAGGTCAGGATGCTGTATGTTGATGACTTGCTGTGCCGTCCTGGAGGGCTCAAGGTGACCTCTAGAAGCCCTACAGACAGGCTCAGGAACAGCGTAGGTGGCCCCCACACGATCCAAAAGGCTACCCCAGGGTCTAGGGCCACCCCAAGACAGGCACGAGACAGTCCCCAGACGACCATCACAGCCCGTCCAGACGGCTTCCAAGCAAGACCCTCCACAGACGACCCCATGATTTGGAAGTGGCCCGTGAGTCTGCGCTGGATGGGCCCCGAAAAAATGTTTTGAGAAGCGGGGACGATGGCAATTTCCATCAAGTCGGTCCCCGGCCATTTCCAACGGTCGAAACGGATCGGTTTTCCCTGTCGCGTCCTGCCTTGGCGACGAAGGGGCCCCTTTTCTCAGTGGAACGTGTTGTCCACGGGTCCCAGCCTTTCGCCTTGAGCTGTCCTCACAACATGTCAAAGCGCTGATGTTCCCGAAAAGGCAGGCGGAGGGAAGCTGCTCGACAGCGTCCGATCAACAACAGCAGATTGCCATAAACTCGAGAGAAGTGTCAAGCATTTGATCAAAAAATCCAAGATATCGCGTCTGGTCCCCCTTGAGTTCCGGACCAAGCTTCGTGAAACAATCACACTGCTGGCTCCAATCTGGTTTGTGCCAGATGGCTGCGGACAGGCTGGGGCAGGCAGGCACTGCGGGTTGCTCTCATCTCACCATTTCTCTTCCGACACTCACATGCCCCGAACCGTCGGTGTAATCGCCTAAGTCTCGTGCTTGCATCTGCAGCACCTGATATGCTACTGTGGCGTCGCATATTCCATCACCGGACGGCGCGCCTCACCCACCGGGATCGCCGATTCCTCCTCGATATCCAAATCATCTGGGAACAGCTGCCACGCATCATCGCCATCGACTGCGAGAGACGTCGCTTGATCCAGCGCGTCGGAGCCCTTCTCTCTGGCCCCCTCGGAAATGAAGTTTGCGTCGTAGATCGAGTTCCAACTCCCTGCTGCCGCAGTTTGAAGTTCGCCCTGGCCTTCTCGGAATTGTTTCGTCATATAATGGACCAACTGCGCCCCGCTGCGGCACTGCCGCAATGAAGTAGCTGTAGCGGCCATACCTCTCTTCAGCGCCAGGGTTTCCAACGCGCTCCTCTTGCCCTTCATGTCAAGCGCACTGCTCTCGGACATGCCCAACGCATCGAACACTCCACGGCAGTCCAACACGAGAGCTTCTGGCATCTTCGCACACCCCTAAGCCCACTGCTCCAGCGGAATCGGGCCCAAGAGGGCCCCTCATTGCACCGGCCTGCAGAACTCCACCAACTCCTCCTGCGCCCCACTCGCTGCTGGGATTTCGCCAGCACCCTAACTCCAGTTTGCGCGAGGTAGATTCGCGGATGCCCGGGTGATTGGCGACACTGGCACCTCTTTACTTTGCAGCAGGTCGAAGATCAGGACTCCGCCCTGCGAACACCAATCGCGTCGCACGTTCTAGGCGGCATCTGAGTATCTGACCAAGCATGGATTGATGCGCTTCTCCATCGCGAGCTTTCACGTCTTCGATTCGAGCTCTCCTGATCAGCTCTGCGGCCCGAAATAGCGCGCTGGCCGTCGCCGTGTTGGCGCGGGCCAGCCGGAGAGATAATTCTGCGCGCATCAGAGGCACCCCTGACGTAGCCAACGACGTTGCGCGGCTTCTCCGGGCGGCGCCTTCGCCACCGGATCACGTCGGC